CGCGGCGTTCAGGCCAAACCCTCGCTTTGAACACCAACCGCCTTCCATCATTGAGACTGCCGCGAACTTTTTACTTGAATGCGCGCGGCGCCCAGGCGAGAGCCACTTGTCGAAAACGACCCACCCTCCATTCTTGAAACTGTTGCAAACATGTAACACGAATGTGCGCGGCGGTCCGGCGAGAGAAACGGTTTGAAAACCACCCGCCCTGTATCCTTGAAGGGTTAGCAAACTTTTATGACGAATGCGCGCGGCGCTGAAACGAGAACCACATTTGGAAAACGACCCGCCCTCCATCCGTGAAGCTGTTGCATGATGCTCATGTCAAAATTCAATATCATGAACGGCGAAGAAATCCCAAGCGAAACGCCCAGCCCGCCTTACCAACACGTCAAGGAGTGCGACAGGGGCAACATCGGAGGTGAGGGGGTGAGATCGAAGTGGAACGGAGAGCCCCCCTACCGGGAAATCGGTTTCGGTTTCATGTTCGTGCGTGCCGTGCGGGCGAGGCGAAGCTGCGTGGGCGGGCGAGAGAAAGTCTGCTGTGGCTGAGGCGCGGCCGGACCAAATGACTCCCTTCCGGGCGGCCGGTGGCCCGCGGTGTCCCGCCGGTGTCCCGCTGGTGTCCCGTGTGGCTGAGGCGCGGCCGGACCAAATGACTCCCTTCCGGGCGGCCGGGGGCCCGCGGTGTCCCGCCGGTGTCCCGCGGTGTCCCGCGGTGTCCCGCGGTGTCCCGCGGTGTCCCGCGGTGTCCCGCCGGTGTCCCGCGGTGTCCCGCGAGGACGATGAAGATGAGATGATGATGATGATGATGATGATGATGATGATGATGATGATGATGAGATGATTATGATGATGGTGTCACGATGAAGATGATGATGTTGATGATGGTGTCGATGATGATGATGGTGATGATAGTTTCCCGATGATGAGGATGATGATGCTCATGATGATTATGTGGATGATGATGACGATGATGGTGTCCCGACGATGATGATGATGATAATGATGATTCCGATGATGTTGGTGATGATGATGTTGATGGAAATGGTGTCCTGGCGATAATGATGTTGATGATGATAATGTTGATGATGATGATGGTGTCCTGATGATGATGCTGCTGATGATGGTGATGATGATGATGGTGATGCTGATGGTGTCCCGATTATGATAATAATGATAATGACGATGTTGATGATGATGTTGCTCATGGTGATGATGGTGCCCCAATGATGATGATGTTGATGATGATGATGTCGATGATGATGATGTCGATGATGATGATGATGATGCGATGATCATGATTATGATGGTGTCCCGAGGATGATGACGATGTTGATGATAATGTTGATGATGAGAGCGATGGTGATCATGAGGGTGTCCCGATTATGATGATGATTATGATGATGCTGCTGATGATGATGACGATGACTGTGTCCCCATGATGATGATGTTGATGATGAGATGATGATGGTGATGATGATGATGATGTTGTCCCGATGATGATGCTGACGTTGATGATGATGGGTATGATGATGATGATGATGATGATGATGATGACGGTACCCTCATGATGATGACGATGTTGGTGATGATGTTGATGTTGATGTTGATGATGTTGATGATGATGATGATGATGATGATGATGCTGATGCTGATGATGATGATGATGACGTTGATTGTGAGAGCGATTGTGATATCGATAGTGAGATCGATATTGAGACCGAACGTGAGATCGATTGTGTGATCGATTGTGAGATCGATTGTGAGATCAATTGTGAGATCGATCGAATGAGATAGATCGAGTGAGATCGATTGTGAGATCGATTGAGTGAGATCGATCGAGCGAGACCGATAGTGAGATCGATACTGAGATCGATAGTGAGACCGATCGAGTGAGACGTTGGTTCCCCCCCCGAACCTCCTTATCACCCGAAGGGTGGTCGTATAGGTATTTATAAGGAATAGGGATGGTGGAGGAGGAAATGGAGGAGAAGGAGGAGTGGGACGGGGCGAAGGAGGGAGGAGGTCAGCGCCAGTGCGCGCCTGTGGGTGGACGGGGGGGATCAGGAGGAGGAACCAGAGACATCGGCGCAAGACGAAGGGGAGGACGGAGATATTGTCTCGGGGTGCCCTGGTCGGCAGCCAGGCTCCTGCGGTAGAGCTCGCTGAGGAGCCAGAGGCCCTCGAGAGCCTGCGCCGTCGTGTTCACCTTCATCCGCCGCTTCGAGAAGAATAAGTGATAGGCGGTGTGGTTGAAGAACCCCTTGTGCAACCGCGGCTTCGGGCCCCAGTTGCCGCGCCTGCAGAAGAGGTCCCCGCCGTCCTGCTCCTGGCAGTCAAACCTAGTGTCGTACGAGACGTTGTCGGTCCAATCGAGGACGGTCCTCCCGGTGGAGGAATTCCATGGCTGCCAATAGACCTCCCCGTTCAGGTGGGGCGCCATGGTTTCCTGGCCGCCCATGCAGTACACGCCGGCACGGGCCTCCACGGTCAGCGGCTCGGCGCTGACATTGCCGCGGGCCACCTCCTCCAGCACTCGTGGGTCCTTCACCCCAGGCCTTGGACGGTCAGGCTTCCGCGGTGGGTCCTTCGACCAGGGGCACCACTGCGCGGGCCGCGTCGCGACCTCGTCGTCGCACTCGGGGATTTTGAGGTGTTCCAGGTACGCCCAGGGAATGTGGCACTTCTTGGTCTCCTTCCACGGCTCAAAGGCGTAGTGGCAGCACACCTTATCCAATGCAGACTCGCCCTCGCCGCAGAGGCGGGTGATCCTTCGCTTAATGTTCCGCCACCATGTGGCGCTGAACGCGTTGCCGGGACGCGCAGCCATGAAGTTGGAGGAGAAGCTGCGGTTCAGCTCACACATTCCGGAGTAGTTCTGACACATGGGGTCGGCGTACGCAACGACATCCCAACCTTCGTCCAGCTTCCGAAAGACTTTTCCCAGGTCGCCCATGGCAATGAAGTCTGTGTCCAGATAAAGGCCTCCGCTGTAGTAGAGCACAGAGGCGCGCACGACGTCCGACTTGGCCTGGGCGTCCCCAAGACGGGCGAACTCTGGGGTGGCGTCGGGCACAAGGTCGTAAAAGTTGCTGTCGTTGACCAGCGGAGCAACAGAGACCACCGCCACCGAGAACCCATTAGACCGACCCATGCGGGGGAACCGACCCCAGGGTGGTGGCACGCCTCAGCGTCACCCTCTGCCGGGCGACGCTGGGACGCTCCACCGCCCAGGGGTTCGTTCCCCTCCAGGGGTCGGCCTCATGGGATCTCGGCGGCGGTGGCCTCTTTTGATCCTCTGAGCTGACCATCACCACCTCGGTCCCCGGAGGGGAGTGGCGCCTCCAGGTCTCCACGTTCAGGGGCACGAGCGGGTCCAGCCCGTGCGGGTAGTTCCAGTACGTGAAGATCTTCCAGCGGGCGCCACCCGCAGCCGCAGTCTCCGCGCCCGTGGCGGCGTCCGCCAGCCCAGCCGCGGAACGATGTGGCGCCTCTGGCTCCGCCGCGGCTGGCTCCGCGGCCTCCTCGAGCGCAGCTCCCGGGTGCCACGGGCCAGGCTCCCACGGAGCCCGGGACGCGACGGCTGCGGCAAGCAGGGCCAGCGCGATCAGCTGCGCGACGAAGCGCAGGTACGGCCGCGCACGCCATGGTTTCTGCAGGCTGCGTCGTGGCATGCCTCGGCCAGCGGCGCGCTGGACAAAACATGATAACTTAGAATCGGGGGCAGGGCGCGGAGGCAAGAAGAGGAACAAGAAGACAACGAGGAGGACGAGAAGACGGAGGCAGAAGAACGGACGCACTCGGACGGGGCACGTTACCCCACGCAAGGCGTAGGCTCTGAGTCGCCGCAGAGGATGGAGCACTACTTATTGAAGCTTGGGTGGGAGATGACGGGATGGTATTACAGGATGGCGAAAGAGATTGACAAACATAATCAAACATGCAGTGAAAACTTCCGTGACGCAAGAAGCATGGACAGGAAGGCCTCGCAACGTCGGTGCCTCACAAGCAGAACGATTAAGAATAGGAAGTCCATGTAATCTGTACGGTGCGACAAAACATCAGACGGGTGTGGGGAACGCAAGAGAAAGATCATTCTGCACAGCGTCGTCGAACACGCTCGCACATTACCCAGTGTGGGTCAACATTGCTTCTCGTAGGCTTTGCCACCATATGGTTTTCCCAAGTAACCGAGCACGGTCAAACATTAACGATCTGACACCGTGCCGCGAGGCACTGAGTGGAAAGTCCTGAGAACCCTTGGAATCCGTATTATTGGGCTTCGCAACTAGCACAGGACCCCAAATTCTGGTTCTCTGTGGCGCTCCAAGGCACCCCCTGGCGCTCTTGGGGTTCCCCGCGTGACTTTCTCAGGGGCCTCGGGAGCGTGGCTGAAGCGTCAGCCGGCCACATGCCTCAAGATGGTCACATGGGTCCCCGTTGGAGCCCCCCCCCGAGGCCTCTTGGGCTGTCGTGGAGGCTCTGGAAGCTGGCCTAGGCTGCCACAAGCATTGAAAATCATCAGGAGCCTGAGCCATTACAACGATCTCGAGCTGTCGGTCTTAAGAGCGTCTAAGGCGGACCAAGAGGCCCCGAAGATCGCACAAAGACGGCAGACCGCCCCCGAGGCCTCTACGAAGGACCCAGAGGCACCCAAGAGACCCCCAAGGGAGGCCACCACCCACTGTTGCTGGGACGCGCCGAGAGACATTCGTGCCAAACGGGCCAGAATCCCTCTCCCGCGCACGGTTCTGCCCATCAGGGCACAACCCCGACGTGCGCCCCCATCGTTACGGTGCCAGAGCGACACTCCAGGGCACGATCCTGCTCATCAGGGTACACCCTCCTCCTCGTTCCTCACTATCATCCGCATCAGAATCCTATTTCCCGTCGTCGTCTCGTTCACCGTCTCTTTACCCACGGCTTCCCGAAGACTCCAGGACCACCCTGGAATCGCGTCCTCCCCCTCGCAACCAGACCAAACATTGCGGTTGTGCCTCGGAGCCTTGCGTGCGCGATCTCTTCGATGTTGTCCGTAGCATCGGCGGAAAGCCCTTCGTTGGCGACTTCGGTGAACCTGGAGCAGGGATCGCAAGTGCCCAGGGACGCACCAAATTCATGTGACACGAGTGCCAAAATCAACGGCCTCACCAAAGGCGACTGAACATCTGAACGAGCGCGGTGCCCTCTCTGCGAGCTACATGTGGGACCTATGCGTTGCGCTCCACAAGACGACAACTATATGAGACGGCACCCAGGGAAACTTACTTACAGGAATACGGCGTGGCGCCGCTGGACTCTCCATGAGCTCACGGAAGCGGCGGCATTTGCAAAGCTGGCAGCGCTCCAGGAAGGGAGTAATAGCCAGGGCCTGCGTAGGACTGCACAACTCTGGACCCCGCAGGATATTACAAAGGTGCAGACGTATTAGCAGTTGACGGTCCCACAGGGAGGGGGAATAATAGTTCGGATTCGGATACCACTGCACCCCGCTGACCTGCCAGGAACTCTCGAAAGTGCCAATCGTTATGATGTAAGTCGGGGGAACCACAGTTTTGTCCTGGGCATGAGACCACGAACGTGCCAACATATTCGCAGTTGGTCAGGGAGGGGAGTCATAGCTCGGATCCGAGTAGTACCGAATTCAGCGTGACCCAACAGGAGCTCACGAAGGTTCCGACAGCTGCGCAAGCGTCAGCGCCCAAGAAGGGGAGCTAACAGTTCTGATCCGCAAAGCAGCGCGTTCTGCTGGATCCGAAAGCTTCACGAAGGCCCCACCAGTTGTAGAGGTGACATCGCCCAAATAGGTGGCCAACAGTTCTGATCCGAATAGCACAAAGTTCCGCTGGACCCCCCCAGGGCGCTCACGAAAGTTCGGTCAGTTGTGCAGGCGTCAGCGCCCAAGGACGGGGGTAATATTCTGATCCGAATAACACCGCGCTCCGCTGGACCCCCCCTCCCCCAGGCGCTCACGAAAGTGCTTACAGTTGCGCTGCTGGCAGCGCCCAGGGACAGGCCCCTCCACAAGTTCACGACAATGCCTAGAGAAGGGATGCTAGAAAGAAGCGCAGTTCGCAGCACCGGAGGAGGCGAGGCAGGAGATAGGAGGCAGAAGGGAGGCGGGGGAAAGCGGGAGAAGGCGGGAGAAGGAGGCCAACCAAAGGCTGTAGCGCAAAGAAGACGCAAGTGTTTGCTGCGAACCTTGCTAGATAAAGCAGCAAACAGGTGGCGCAATTGCTAACGTGCCTTCCCCCATCAGGTTTGTTGTTGCGGTTTGTTTGAGTTGGTCGCCGACGTTTTGTTAAGTTGGGCGGGTGGGAGGGGTTTCTGGCGGTTTGGGGGAAGTGCGCGGTTTGCTTAATGAAGGTGCTCGGGGCGCCCCTGGTAATTTGGAAGGGTTGAGACGTTCGGCGGGCTCTTGTGCCTTGTGAACTGTTTGTCCAGTCTTGTCTAGCGGTCTGGCAAGAGCTCTGGGCATCAATATTGGCTCGTCGTCGACGAGATAAACACACGACTCATCGTTCTGGAACTTCATCACTGCACCAGCCACCAGCTACTGCAGCAGTGCCACAGGCGTCTTCTTCGCCTAGGCCAATCAAGCCTAGCAACACTGCCATGCATGGATCTGCCACCGTGCCGCAACGCCAGAAAATGACAACCAGGGGGCGACCCTCAGGCTCATGGCCATTCTGGGTTGTCCTAGGGTTCACGTGGGCCCGCGTCCCACGGCCGGGAGGGAGGGCCCTGGAGGGGTCGATGACGGCTCCGAAGGGCGCCGCAGAGGGCGTGAAGAGTGCAAGACGGGCGAAGATGGCCCCAAATATTCCCATAAGATGGCCCAGAAAGGCCCCAAGACGCCCCCGAGAGGGCAAACACATATCGAAAAGCAATCGGGCGTTCGACGTTGGTTGCCTGGCCTGCGTGCCACTGCCAAGAAGTCAGACGGTTCCAAGACGGCCCCGAGGGCACCCGATATTGCCAGAGACGTTCCAAAAAGTGTTTCCAAAACGGCCCAAGATATGCCCAACGCACAGGATTACCCGACAGGGCCGCAAGCGGCCCCAACATGGCGCCGCGGCCATGATTTCCTGACGGCGGAGCTCCCGCTTGGGCACGGCGCACAGCACACTATGATATTCACCTGACTGACTCGGGCGTTGCTTAATCAGAGGCCTCCCAAATGGGGTCCAAGCAAATGGGATCGGAGGATCGCGCCGCATCGTCAATGCATCGCCGACACATCGGCGATGCATCGCCGATGCATCTGCGACGTCGGCGATACATCGGCGCCGTCGGCGTAGCGAAAACCGGGCCCCATATCGAGCCGAATCGGCAATGCAACGGCGACCCGGCGCGATCCTCAGACCCCATCTAGGCACTCGGACCCCACTTGGGCGGCATATTCATGGAGTAGGCCACAGACAGGGGTGGGCGAAGAAAGGTGCCCAGACATGCAACGTCTTGAAAGAACAAGACGGAGGTTCTCTCAATTTTCCGCCTCTGGCAGCCCTCGCCGGGCCTCGGAACCGTCACACATAGATTCGGGACGAAAAACCGGTTCTGGGGAAAGGGTCCGGACTTCTGGGGGCCGCGTATGATGTAAATCAAGACATCGCATGCCCTGGAAGGAAAATGAGCCTTTCTTACACCTTCGGTCCCTTTGGGGCCCCTTTCCTTCAACTTTCGACCCACCCTCCCCCACCCATGATCGCACTCCCATCACGGCACGCCCCCCTGTCGTGCAAATGTCCGATGCTGGGTGGGCCATGTAACTGAAGCTTGTCATCCTTCATGTCAGCTGTCCTCTTGCATAAAAACATACAGCTAGCATGCCCCCTTCCAGCACACATTCCCCACCAAACACTGCTATTAAAGCCTCTGTAGCCGAAACACGCGACAATGCTGCAGATACTGAGGGTTGTGAGTAGCGAGCGTTCAGCTGCATATCTCCTTCTGGTAGGTCGCAATGCGAGCGCACGGTCGATGGAACGCAACTTGAGACGTGGAGCTATAGTCTGGAGTCGACATGTCGTGCCAAACAACCTCTCCACCCTGCTTCACAATCTAACCAGTGCCATGCTTGGTGCGAGACAGACTTGCGATCTCTTATCAACGATATGTAGCGGGGGATGGAATAAAGAAGCCCGGGCAGACACAGGGGACCCAAACATCTAGCGGCTCGTTTCGATTGTAGACGTAGGCCCCCGACCTTTGAACCACTTCCCTGGGGTCGCTTCTTCAACCCGAGCCGTTTCTGAAAGCCCCAGAAGCCCGAAACGGGCCTCCTCAAATACCAAGACTGGTAAGAAACTGGCTGCCTCGTACTTTTTCAGGCCGCCTGGGATTCAGACACGGGGAACCAGGTCGAGAGGGAAACATAATATCAATGGCACGCCCCCATTGAGAGCCCGTCAGTATGCTACATCTTCATTATTACCAGAAGTCCTGGTGCTTCTTCATCAGTAACGCGATGATGAGTTCCCCACGGCGGTGTCTGGGGGTCCCAAAACGGCGCGGTGACAAACTATGCGATGACATCGAAATCCCCCACGACCGACCTCACCGCACGGTCCGTCACCGCACGGTTTTGGGACCTGGGAGGCCCCTGTCACCCAAGTCACTCTCGGAGAACGACCCGAGTCCCAAAACCGTGCGCCCCCCTGTTTCTGGAGACCTCGGCCGAATGCCGCAACGGCGTTCCGAGTCCGGAGCTCGGGCCGCGAGCCGCGCGCGCACCTCCTCCGGCAAGGGGGGCCCCGAAGCTGGGCGCCCCGCGCGCGGGCCCCAACGTGCGCCGCGCCGCCGCCGATGCTCATGCGAGCTACCCGCGGCGGCCCTCTGCTCTCGAATTGGACCTGCGTCGTGAACCGAGAGCGCAGGCTGACGACGAGGCAGGGGATCCAGGGCCCCCGCAGGAGGGCACCGACCAGGCCCCCTCCGTCGGCGCGCGCGCCGCCGTCAACGCTCGCGAGAGCTCCCAGGCCCCCGCTGGCAGCGCGCTGACCGGGCCGGCCGCCCCCCCCAGCCCTCGGGCCCCTGGAAGCGCCGCCCCGCCCTCCCGAAGCCCGCTGAGGTCGGGAGGCGCCGCCGCGCCCTCGACGGCCCCGGGCGCCTCCTCCGCCGCCGGGGCGGGAGCGGCCAGCCTCTCCCCGCCCCGGGCGTCGCTGCTTTCGCCCGAGGCGCTGGGCGGCTGCCCCGGCGCGGACAGGCCCTCCGGCCAGCAGGCCCGACGCACGATGTCGCGCTCGGTCGAGTCTGGCGCGAACATCCCGAGGTCGCGCCAGTTCTTGTAGTCCAAGCCCAGGATCCTGCGGCAACGGTCCCGATGGTGGAGACGCCGCAGCCCCTTCTCCGAGATCGAGATGACGTAGCCTTCGGGCGGCGCGTCCTCCTCGCTGGAAATCGCGATGGGCGCGAGCGCCTCCGCCTCCGCCTCCTGCTCGTCGTCGTCGACCAGGCCCTCGATCGCCGCCCGCTGTGGGCCACCTGGTTCAGGAGCAGGCCCTTCTGGATCGAGGTCCCCGACGCATCCAGCCACCGGACCCGCAGGAAGCCAGCCCCTCGGGCCTCGGAGCTTCCGGGTAGTTCCCGAAGTACACCAAGTTGACCTTGATATGATCGACCCCAGCGACCCCGCAGCCCTGCTTCGCCAGGTAGAGGTCCTCAGCTGGTCCAGCGGGTCGTTCTCGTCGAGGAAGTCCGGGCCGCCTCGGCCCGCGCGCGCGTAGCACGACAGCTCCGACTGCCAGCGCTCCACCGCGATCCTCTGCGTCCTGACGCACGCTCCGACATGGACGATGACCAGCGCCCGAGCCGGTCGATGGTGGCGCGATCCCTGCCGAGGACCGCCGCCGCGCTCGCCGCGCAGCACCTCTCACTGTGCCCCGCCCAGGACGCCCTGTCCGGTCGCCCAGCAAGCGGCCCTCCAGCGTGACGGCGTTGTCCCCCCCTCCCCCTGGCCGGGGAGAATGCGCGACAGGGTTTGCGCGCTGCTCGAGGCCTCGTTCCAGCCCGCCGAGCGACCCACGACCGACTCCAAGTCCGCGCTCGGCAGCGGCGGGAAGCAGCTCATCGGCA